TTTTTTTTTTTTTTTTATTTTTAATTTTTTATCAGTGCTTCGGTACGGCTCGTCTGGAGCTTTCGTGAGAGGCTCAGACACACACACACACACACAGACACACAGGCACATTGACACGCCGCATGTGGATGCAGATGAACGATTGCACCCGAGCTCCGGGCATCGCTGTCCCGGCACCGGCGGTGCTGAGGGCGCCTGCGGGGCGGGCGGCGACCCCCGCCGGGGATGGGATGGGATGGGACGGGATGGGATGGAGCGGGGCACCGGGGCGAGCCGCCCGCCCCGGGCACAAAGGGAAAGGCGGCCCCGAGCAAGGGGGATACGCGCACACTCCGCTTCTCTTCCCATGCGCGGGGGAAGGAGCGGGCAGGAATATTCTGGACCGAGGGAGGGGAGGAAGGAGAGAAGGTGATGAATAACTTGAATAAATCTGCAGCGGAGCTGAGGAGAGGGGGAGGGAGGCGGCGGTGGCAGGTCATGTGAGGCACAGTCATGCTGCGGGCAGAGAGGGGGCACCTGGCGGGTACACGACGCGGCCGGGGAGGGGGACGGCCGGGCGCCCGCCATGGCCGTGGCCGCAGGCTCGCCCCCTCCCCAGCCGGGACACCCCCACCCGCCCGCCGCGGGCTCGGCGCCGCTCGGCCATTTCCGCCACGCGAGCCGAACCCTATTTCCGCCGGCCCCGGCCAGACGGGCTTTATGTCTGCCGGCGGGGCGCGCGTGCGCGGCGGCCGCCGCCATCTTACGTTGTCTCTCGCCCGCCCTCCCCTTTGGCGAGCTCTCCCCTCCTCCCCCCCGCGGCGCCTCCTCCAGCGCTCCGTGAGGAGACGGGGCAGGCACTGGGAGGGAGAGACCCGCGGCGGCGGGGAAGCCGGGAGTAGACCCTGAGGGAAGAAAGGACGGGGCGGACGCGCACGCGGGAGGAGGAGGACGGATTCCAGGCGCGGTTCTGCGGAGGACGAGCGGGTGCCGCCTGTTATAAAGGGGGAGGAGGCGGCGGAGGGGGAAGGAAGAGCGTGCGGAGCGGAGCCTCCTCCAGAGACAGCCAGACACAGGGAGGAGAGAGAGGCTGCTTGGCTGGCTCCCCCTTCCTCCTCCCTCCCTCTCTCCTTTTCATGGACTCTCTTGTCGGGTTGCTGCTGCTGCTTTTCTTCCGTCCTTATTCCGTCTCTCTAATACCCAAAATGATTCAGCTCCATGGCTGCCACTGACGGGGATGTCCCTGCCCGGCTTAGCCTGCCGCTGCCGCCCTGCTGTGCGCCAGTCCTGTACGTATCCGCGCCTTCCTCCTCCTCCTACTACTAGGAGCGGTGATGGCGAGGGGCGCCGGCCGCCTCGCCGGGCTGCCCTGCGGGCCCGCCGGCTGCCCTCGCCCCGCCGAGGCGGGGAGGGACGGAGGGAGGGAGGGCGGTGCTGCCGGCTGCCGGCGAGCCGCGGCGGCCGGCGGAGCCTCCGCGGGGAGAAGGAAGGGGCTCGCCCCCGGGGCGGCCGGCTGGGTGCCCTCCCGGGAGAGGCGCAGCCGGGGGGCTGGGGAAGGGGGCAGGCGGCCGAGCAGGGAGGTGGTGGTAGAAATCGAAGGGAGGCGGGGGGCAGGGTGGTAGGGAGAAAGAAAGTGAATGGCGGAGGATTGAAAGTGTCACATTCAGAGGCGGCGGAGGACCGGTGCTCGCCCCCTCCCTGTCTCGGAGGGGAGGAGGAGGGGAGGGGAGGGGGGTGGTGGTGAGCGGCGGTGCCGAGCCGCCTCAGCCCGTGCGCTGCGGGAGTCGGGGGGGGTTGTGCGTGGTGGTGTCTGCCCTGCCCTGAGCACACAGCTAACTGTGCGTGTGTGTGTGTGTGTGTGTGTCTGTCTGTCTCTTTCCATACCGGGGGATTGCACTCTTAAAATACACCCGATACAATGCACCAGCCTGACTCAGCCGCAGACATTAGTGCTAGGAAGATGGCGCACCCGGCGATGTTTCCTAGAAGGGGCAGCAGCAGTAGCAGCGGCAGCAGCTGCGTTACTGCTCCCACTGCACCAGGTACCGGCGTTGGGAGCGCTGCCCTCTCCGCCGAGGATTATCAGCCGCCTTTGCTGGTCCAGCCGCCGCCTCCATCTCCTGCAGCAGCTTCAACCGCGGGTCCACAGCCGACACCCCCTCACCCACAAAGCCTGAACCTCCTCTCGCAGTCTCAGCTCCAGCCACAGCCCCTTGCACAGACTGGAGCTCAAATGAAAAAGAAAAGTGGTTTTCAGATTACCAGTGTGACCCCTGCTCAAATATCAGCTAGTATGAGCTCTAATAACAGCATAGCTGAGGATACAGAAAGCTATGATGACCTCGATGAGTCTCACACTGAAGACCTGTCATCTTCAGAAATCTTGGATGTGTCTTTATCCAGAGCCACTGACATGGGAGAACCTGAGAGGAGTTCTTCTGAAGAGACTCTAAATAACTTCCAAGAGGCAGAGACTCCTGGGGCTGTTTCTCCAAACCAGCCTCATCTCCCTCAGCAGCATGCTCCTCTGCCTCATCACCCACAGCAGAGTGTTGTGATCAATGGAAGTGTTCATCCCCATCATGTTCATCATCACCACCATCTTCACCACCACCATCATGGACACCATCATCCATCGCATCCTGGGGTGGGTAGTGCCCCAATTTCTGGAGGACCACCGCCCAGTCCATCGTTCAGAAAACTATCAACAACTGGAAGCTCTGACAATGTTATATCAACTGCACCAGTTTCTGCTGCATCATCCACTGGTTCTCCGGCATCTGCCGTGTCTAATATCCGCACTACAAGTACTCCTGGAAATTTAGGTATAAGTCCTGCTGCTGGAACTAGTACCTTAAATAATGTTAGTGGTGGTAGTTCTAGTGTGGCAAGCAATGTGCTTGGTACTATTAATTTAAGCAACATCATGAGTACTGGTAATGTAAATGCTTTGTCTGGAGCTAGCAGCAATGCTAATGTGAATATCATGAGTGGTGTTGGCAATGGTACGAGTGCTTCCTCTAGTGTCATTAACAATGTTACTAATCCAACTGCAGGAATGGCAGTGGGATCAGGCCAGCAGCAACCTGCATCTGGCACATCAAGGTTTAGGGTTGTAAAATTAGATTCTAGTTCTGAGCCTTTCAAAAAAGGTAGATGGACATGCACTGAATTCTATGATAAAGAAAACACTGTTGCAGTTTCGGAGGGAGTAGCAGTAAACAAAGCAGTAGAGACGATAAAACAAAACCCGCTTGAAGTGACTTCTGAAAGGGAGAGCACCAGTGGGAGTTCTGTTAGCAGCAATGTAAGCACACTGAGTCACTATACAGAAAGTGTGGGAAGTGGAGAAATGGGAGCACCTCCTGTGGTACAGCAGCAAGCATTTCAAGGTGTGGGTCCACAGCAGATGGATTTTAGCAGTGCTGCTCCTCCAGCAATTCCAGCATCTAGTATACCACAGAGTGTTTCTCAATCACAGCTTGCACAAGTCCAGCTGCATTCTCAAGAAGTAAGCTATCCACAGCAGAAGCCAGGGGTCCAGCCTTCTGCACAGGCCAGTCTAACCACTGTTACTGGGGTTCAGCCAGCTCCAGTTAATATACTAGGTGTATCCCCGTCTCTGGGCCACCAGCAGCCTGCCCTTCAGAGCATGGCTCAACAGCAGCTGCCGTATTCTCAGCCAGCACAGCCCGTGCAGACTTTGCCAGTGGTGCAGCAGCAGCAGTTGCAGTACGGACAGCAACAGCAGCAGCAGCCAGTTCCTTCACAGATGGCCGCGGGTCACGTTAAGACGGTGAACCAAAACTCTGTCACAGGGGCTATACCAGACTACATTCAACATCAGCAGATCCTTCAGACTCCAGCCCCTGCCATGCAGCCAAGTTCTACAGGAGTAGGAGCTGGGCAACCGGTTCCTGTTGCCCAGGCACAGGGCATGCAGCCTTCAGTGCAAGCACATCCAGCTGCTGCCCCAGCTCAGCCTGTTGCACACGCTCCAGCAGCAATACCAGGTGTAGCTGCTAGTGGTCAAATACTAAATGTTGGGCAGCAAGGAAGTGTAGCTGCTGTGGTGCAACCACAATCTGCTACAAACCAAATTCCACCTCCAGTTATGCCATCAACAGCTGCTCCTCCATCTTCCCAAGTAGTGCAGCCTGTGCAGACAGGAATAATGCAGCAGGGATTACAGGCTAGTGCTACAGGCCTTCCTCAACAAATGGTCATTGCTCAGCAAAACACCTTGTTACCTGTACAGCCACAGGCACAAGGAGTGGAATCTGTAGTCCAAGGGATGACTGGCCAGCAGCTGCCTGCGGTAAGCCCTATACCCTCTGCTAGTACTGTTCCTGCACCAAGTCAAGCTGGTTCAGCTGTGCCTCCTGGCATACCTTCTGCTTCTGTAGGTTTGGGACAGCCACAGAATATAGCACAGGCTTCGGCTGTGCAGAATGGCAATTTGGCTCAAAGTGTTAGTCAGCCTCCCTTGATATCAACAAGTATAGGTATGCCAGTGGCACAGAGTGTGCCACCACAGATGCCACTAAGCTCTACCCAGTTCCCTGCACAATCACTAGCTCAGTCCATTGTAAGCCAAATCGAAGACGGCAGACGCCCTACAGAGCCTTCCTTGGTGGGTTTACCTCAAGCTGCCGGCGTTGAGAGCGGTGGTGGAGCATCGGCTGCTTCAGATGGCGGTAGCAGCAGCATGCCGTCCTCAGCGTCCCTCTTCCCCCTGAAGGTGCTGCCCTTGACAACGCCTCTTGTAGATGGTGAGGATGAGAGGTAAGACTGCCTGTAACTTTATTAAAAGATGGACTCTGTGATAGTTACATTTGCACTAACTTGCAGGTCTTGTTACAGCCATTCTGTGAAATGAAGCAGTGTGATGTCTCTGTCCAATTAAAATACTATTTCTCAGGTTTCAGCACATGCAATATTGTATTAAAGAACTTGTTTTTCTCTTGAGGGGGTGGGTTGTATTGATTATCCTTTGAAACTACTGTGTGGGTAAATTGTGCTTGACAGTCTGTTCAGTGTGTATATTCCCATTGTGTTGAGGAAGACAAGAATACTCTAGAGTGTGGGTATACTAGTGGTGATTGCAGTTTAGATTATTTATTATACGGAAATAATTAATATTTATTCTTAGGTATATTTTCTTTTCGCAAGCCTAGAGTTCATCCTGCCTTAGCTTCTCTTTTTAAAGTATTCACTTTACTAAGGTTGAACCAGTTGCGATTCTGTGGTGTACTTAAAACCTCTTTGACAGCCAAGAGATGCTTTAGGCAAATGAGTATGGTGGAATAAGGGATGTTCAGCAACATTATTGTGGCTCTTTGAATTGATCCTGGGGTGCTTTTGGTCTTGATGGTGTTGCTTCAAAGCATTAATGCATGGTGAGATCCACTTAGGCCTGCAGAAGGGTGGTGAACCTATGAATCTGGTGCATCAATTCTGTGCAGTTCGAGTGCATATTTTTTTGCCTTTGTCACCAGTTTTCAAACTACATGTATTCTGTCACCTGCATCTTTTCAAGTAAATGACCATTGCCTGGTCTTAATAGTACATGCATGTGAATATTCATTTCTTTGACAGTGTGTGCAGAGAAGTTGAGACCACTGTGTGTGCAGGCCGAATTGATTAAAACATCAATTTTAAAGTGTGATGGTTTGATATTAATTGTGTGGATAGTCCTCAATGTGTAGAGGACCTCTTTTGATACGGGTTTGCGAGTGGCTAGGAAGACTGGTTCTTCTTCCAAAGAACTTCCTGTCTGAGAAGCTACATTAATGGGAGAAGTAACTTTTAAGATAAACAACCCCCCTTGGGAATGTGGAGCAGGACAAAAAACACTAGAGAAACTGAGACTAGGGTGAGGAGACAAAATAAGGCACTAAACACAAGGTGGGAAAAATGCCATAGCAAAGGGAGGCAAAGCACTTTTAAAATACCTTCTTGGTGCCATAACTTAAATCAAGAATAATGCCAGTGGCCAGATTTTATTAATTTTTTTTTTTTAATAAAATGGGTTACTGGGAGAGGCTGGATTCTCTTCTTAATATTGAAAATCCTAACTCTATCAGCAGTCTCTGATTATGTTGATCATAAGGTGTTGACTGCCATTGTGGTTTTCATCACATCTTTCTAAGATGCCAGAGAACTGTAATGAGTAGCAGCTTGTCTTCCAGCAGTGCTAGAAGACAAGTTCCAACACTGTTGCATTCTGATTATGTTTTTTTTTAGTCAATAAGTACATGAAGGTGGTAGAAGACAGATTGAGGTGTTAAAGCCAACAGTGTCACCATTATGCTACTAGCAGTTTTTCAGAAATGTTTTTTCGTTTTCTTCTGTTCGAATTTTGTAAACCAAGACACTAATCCTTCTCTTCATGGGTTCCACTGGTGTTTGGTGGTGTCATTTGTTTTTGTTGTTGTGTGGTTGTTGTTTTTTGGTTTTGTTTTCTTTTATCAACCAAAAAGATCGCTGTAAGCATTCAGGGGATCCTAGCCGAGTAGGAGAAACGTAAGCTTATTGATACTCAGTGTTTTGGAAAATGACATCTAGAATATGTCTGTACCCTGATTTTAAGAGCATATGTTAACAGTTTGACATGAGTGGTAGTTTTTCCAGAAAGTTTAAATCCCTCAGGGTAACAATAGCCAGAAATACCTTCTTCCTCTGTTTTGCTAGCCAAAGATCACATCCTTTCTTCTCCCATGCACGTTGCGTCTTTGTTCAATCTGTCATCTCCAGGTAGACTACACTTTTGTTTAGCTGCAGTTGGAAAACCATTTATATTCTTTACACAAAGCAGGATATGACTCTATTAAATGGAGACCAAAAATAATTGAGGTTTTTTTGCATGGCAGTAGTGGCCAGGTCACTTTTGTGTACAATCAGACAATTTACTGCAGCACGTCTCCTATATATTTGCATGTGACATTAAAAACCTGTTTCCACTTCCAGGGGATCTCAGGGCAGGATACTTCTACTGTCATCTTCGCTGGCATTTTGGGCTGGAGCTTAGAGTTTGTTGCTCACTAAAGTCAGTGCAAGATACGTTGTTATTCTGCTTGGCTCCCCATTTTTCAGGCCATGGGATCTCTCTAGTTAGTTTTTTTTTACTGGTTTGTTAGATTATCCCTGCCTTTACAGGAGGTAAAGGGTAGTGTTTTGTAAAAGGATGTAAGTATTTCAGAACAGGTGTATTGTAAATATGTGTTTGAAATCCCCATTTCTCTTGGTCTTATCTGCACTTATGTCACTGAAGATTTCTATCAATACATCCCAAGGGATTCTAAACCTGGCAAAGGAAAAGGTAGGAGAAAAGAACTGAGTGATGACATAATTGGGCCAGCGAAGAAGCTGTAAAATTCCATTTAGTGTGCGTTTGAAAAAACATCTGACCCATGTAATACCTTGTATAGATTAACTCCCAGCTCTCCTTAAACCTGTATATAACTGTGTTTAAGGCCGTGCCGGTATCTTTAAGTCTGTTCAGTTTTTAGAACACCATTTGCAGCTCTTTCTATGCCTGTTATCAGGGCATGGCCTTTTAAATATAGACAGTGTGGAGTGTGTCTGCTTTGAGAACTGTAACCTTTAGTTCCCCAGTATGAATGACTTTTATTTCAAGTCATAGTGAAGATTAGATATTAAAAATGAGCTGCTTGGCAGAATGCCATGTGGAAAATTAATTTGCAAATGTTAATAAAGGGAGGATACAAATAATACTCTCTGTACTTTCTGTATTAAAAAAACAAAACAAAACCAATCAAACTGCTGAACAAAAAACCCAAAACTCCAACAAAATCACCAAACACCCGTAGTTCTTCTGACTAGTCTTTCTTAAGCCTGTTGGGTATGCCATAGATGTGTGTGTGTTGGTAGATTCATCATCTCTTAATTTTTTGGCCTACAAAAATGTAGGCCAGTTTTTTGGTTGTTAAATATTTTTTCTCCTTCTCCTTGGCTTGAGCCATGGTATGGACTCAGAGCATAGTTCTTACATAGTTTCTTGGATTTGGAATGGTTACCTTGATTTATTCACTGTAGTTATTAAATCTTGTCAATTTTAGACACGGTCTTTTGAGTTAAGTATTTCATCTTTAGAACTGTAGAGCAGGATAGCTTTTATTTTCATGTGTTTATTATTAAGCATGGATATTTAAGCATGGATGAATGCATGTTTATATCACAGTGGATCTTTTTGTGTATTTATACTTAGTGTTGAAAAATCAGTTTTACATTTTCGTAGACAATGTTTTGCTGTACATGCTTGCACTAAGATTTTGTATGGACCTGCGTTGTTTTTAAGTTACCTGTGAAGTGAAGACTTTGAAAGTTAATGTATTTTATAGCATTTATAAAGGCTGCTATAAGTGAATTTAAAAATAACTTAATCTGAAGTGTTGTTTGTCATTACTCAAAAGCAGGTTTTGTGAATGAAGGATAAGAGAACTAATAACTACCTCCCTGTCCTTGACAACATTTCCTGTAGAATTGTTTGCATTCTTTAGGCTGGTGCAAGTTGTATTCACCTGTTTGTGCACGTCATCCTGTGAAGCTGAAGAGAAAGGAGGAAAAGATGATTGCAAACACAAAACAGGCATAGAGATTTAAAATATTTTTTATTATCTGACAATCTCAGTATTTTTTAAGAGAAAGTTTTAATAAAAGACCCCTTTAGAAATGTTTTTTTGTGTAGGTTGTGTGTTTTGGCTTGTTACTGAGTTTGTTGAGGGGCTGGAAGATTAAAGCTGAACATGAGAATCAAAAGATTTTTGAGTGGCCTTTGAGAAATGTCTAGCAGTAGTAACTAGTACTAGATTGTGAAATGAGGTACAGTCAGGAAGCTGGATTAATGTTCATCATGTATGCAGCTGTCTTGTGGGAAGATTGACCAGGTACAAGTGAGATTTTTACAGATGGGATTCAATACTCTGAAGATTTTAGTAAGCAGTAGAGAATGAAGTAAGGTAGAACTGGAAGCTTCAATTATGTTTTTGGTGTGGTAACTATTTTGTGTACGTATTTTGATTTTATAAGTGGTTTTAGAGTTTATATGGGCTTTTTGTTTGCTCGAAGTTTTGCCGCTCTGTATTTGGTGAGAAAGGGAATAGATACTTTACAACAATGGATATCTGGTGGATTCGCATAGATTTTATAGTGGTTTTTTTTGTTTTTTTTTTTAGTTGAATCTTAGGGGCACTGGTGTTATTTTATTCTAGAAGATAAACTGTTAAAAAAATCTGTTCAAATCTTCAATTGAGCTTTCAGTGGAACTTGAAAAAATTATTAACCTCACTAATGGCAAGTCAAGTGAGTAGAGAGAAGGAACTTTGATGAACTTGCTGTTGTGTCATGCTAACAAGTCCAGTTTCTCACTTGGTCTGATGGAATAAAAGACCTGTTGTTAATGGAATTGACTTTTAGTTCTGCTCTGAGTAAAGAACAGTGAGGAATTTAGAGTCTGCACCTTGTATGTCTGCTGACCTAGCTGTAGGTGGCAATACCTTTTTTGATGGAGCTTTTCCTGGCATCTTTTATAGATGCATTTTCTACATGCCACGATACATTTTGAACTAAGGGGTGCTGCAGTGCTTGGTATTGCATTGTCTTTCAAGACAGGAAGAACCAAGAGATACCAGGGGGTTATAACAGCAGCAATTTTACACTTAAGGCAGATACTGAGAAATTAATCTCTTCGACTGATTTCCCGAAATCATTCCTCAGCACTGCAGTTTTGGTTGCTCTTTGGAGCAGTGCATAAATATGAAACCATCTATGTATGTGTATTTGAAAATGAGCAAATGAGATTTTGAAGTATTTAATGTTGAAAAACAATCTTTGTTACTGTCTCAGGATTTGCATTCTTTACAGGCTAATCTGAAAATTATAGTTAAACCCACTGACAAATGGATTGGTAGTGAAGTGTTACAGCCTTTACAAGTTACTGTGATCTAGATAATGGGGAACAGAATAATGACTCTATCAGTCAGTGGTAAGCTAGCAAAATTAGCAGAGTGGGAGGGGAAAATAATTAAAAACCAAACACCACGATCCCCTCCAAAAAACCCTAAACAAACAACTCCAGCCCAGCCTAGCAACCCCCAATATGTTAATGTATCTTGCTTAGGCATAAATAAAAAGGTGTATGGTTAGCATACCTATGCTACAAAAAGACCCCCTATAACGTGTTCATCTTATAGATGGTACTAAAGTAAGTAAACCTCTTCAGACCTGTCTCTTAGCAGCTTAGGAAGTACATCGAATTGCAAACAGTTGGCTAGTATGGTCTTTTAAACAAAAAACACCTGAATATGAGTGCAATTATAGCAAGTATATTTTTGGTATGACCTTTCTGGGAATAATTCTCATTGATTTAAGGCACTGGTTATTTTTCTATTCTTTTGATTAATTTATGAGACTAAAATGTACTGTGTGTAATATGTATTATTCTTTAACAAATGACTGAAAACTTCTCAAAGTGGGCCTATAGCTTTCATTTACTGCATTTATGCCACCAAAAGTGGTGCTATTAAGGCCAGTTAAGGGTAAGATTATTCAGTAAATTATTTCATGGTAATGATCACTGTAAATAAGAAACTAGTTTATTCTCAGCATGGTTGTACAGGAAACCATAGTCTAAAGCTAAGATGGAGAGAGTTCCTGAGTGACTGGAGATACAGCACTTTATTTATTTTAGCCTGTTCTAAAGCATTCAGACTTAGGAATTGCATGATGGAAGTGCAGCATAATTATGGTATCAAATTGGAGCACCTGATCATCCCTCTGGCTTTAATGTCTGGGAACACTTTAACTCTTTGTCTGCCTTTGGAATTTGCTAACAAAGACAGTAATTGTGCTAAAGTCAGTGGTGTAGAAATCCTTATCAGCTCATTTTGTGCAAGCCTCCGAACACCTATTGTGCATTGTCAGTGTTGGAAGCAGGATTTGGTTTGTGGTTGCAGTTATATGCAAAAGTCTCCATCTTCCACTGAAGCTGAATTGACTTTCCCAAGAGAGATATTTAGAGGTTATTAATGGCAGGCAAGGATTGTAATGATGCCATACATGCAAGTGGTACGGCCTGTGGTAGTTTAGGTGTTCTGTCATTGTTGGTTACCTTACGGACTAACCTCTACTAAATGAGGACTTCTGATTTTGGTGCTGTGCAGAGATGAAGAATGATACTTGTCATGCTCAAACTCATCATTATGCTTTTGCAATGGGAACTTGTACAATTTTATGGGGTTTTTTTACTTGCAAAATAAGATCTTTAACGTGTTTTGGTAAAACAGGAAAGTCACAGTAAAATTTTTCACTGTTTTCTTTGAGCAAACAATTACTTTGATTATGCTTCCTTTAATTTATTTTGGCATTACTGTGTACCAGAAATTACTCCTGAGCTTTTTTCTACTCTTCTCCACTGGGTTTTGTTAGATGTTGGTCCCTCATGTTTAATGGTTTGTTATGCTATTTTGAGGTGTTGGTGAGGCTTCCTGTATTGATGACCTTTGACAATCACTTATATAAATTTAAGGATCGTAGGCATTCAGACTTGAAGTTCTTGCCCCAGTTTCTGTTTCTTCTTACAGTGCAGGGTTAGTGATGGTCCAGAACAGTAAAAATAACTTTTCTTTGTTCAGCTGAGAATGGCTACCAAAGCAAACTACTCTTTATAATTCGCCTTCCTTGCTGGGGCTTGTAAGTAGTGTATGGACTGAAATGGGTATAGAATTCTGAGAATTTAGAAATTTGAAAATTTAGAAGAACAGAGTAAGAAGTAAAGTAGTTGGGGGGTTTTGTTTATCATTATGGCTTGGAAATTCAACACAGTTTTGGAGCTTACTGTAGCCTTCAAAGAGCAGCAGATACACCTACTGCTGATGCTATTTTTTTTCCTCAGGGAAATTCTCAGAAAATGGCTTTGTAGTTGTTTTAATGAAGTTTCAGGGGTTATCTTGTTCATCTGCTTACTTACTTTTGAATAATCCATTCTTTTGAGTATAGTGGAGAAGTACCATTTTATAAATTGTTAAAACAGGCAGCAGAGGATCTTCTCTAAGTTTAGACTTGGAGATGAACTTTACTACTAGGTGAATGGGACCACAGTCTATTAAAGATACAGGCAGTACTTCTAGTAAGGTGTAGATTTGATAGCAACTGGAAGTTGGTCGTAGAGTGTTTTATAACCTTCTGCTTAAGTTAGTTAAATGACTCGGCCAGGTGTATTGTTTGAGCTTCTGTGTGATTTAAGTGTTTTTCCAGCCTTCTTGTTTGTATGTCTTGTCATTTATTTTTTCCTCTTTTTGGACTTGTTTTATTTTTGGTTTTGTTTGGTTTTTTGTTTGTGTGTGTTTGGTTGATCTAATTAGCATGGGTATCAGCAGGAAGTTTTCAGGGCTCTGATTCCTTGGTGTGTTACGAGTTTTGAACTTTTCCAGCAGCTGTTTAAGCAACAGTGTCAAAGTACTGTGCTAAGTACTAGGGATAGTACTGAAAGCTGCTGAAAATGTGGATACACATTCAACGATAGTCTTAGCATCTTAATGCATTTAATAATAGGGTTCTTTTTTACTGCAGTGCTGCAGTATAGCTCTTAATGATGAGTTACACAGGTAACATAATTTCAGCATGCAGTGCTATTACTGTAAGGCTGTTTCTTTATTCTCAGTGTTACATTTGGTTCATTCCCTCTGTAAGAGCACAAGGTGTGGATCAAATGTAAGTTACACCATCTTTTTACAGATGTTGTTAGTGGTTTTTTTTGTAATCCATTGTCTTGTGGGTCCTAGCTATTGCTAACTGAGTGTTGTCTTTGGTGGTTACATATCTAGTCAGTAATCCTTTTAGTTGCATAAAGTGCTAAGTTCTGAATTTGGTATCCATCAAGAGTTGCTTATGCTGGTTTATAAATGGTGTTTTCCTTTAAATCCTTGTCAACAAATATAAATTCTAGAAATAACTCAATGTTTCTTCAGTAACTTTGAAGTCTGTGCAATGTAGAGGGATGGAATCTCTGTCAAGATGAGAGAAAATTTAAATGCCTCTTAAGCTTCCTCTGACCTTCATTTCACCCAACTCCACAGTCATGGATAGCTGACAGAGAGAGATGATGACTGTCAATTTATCTATAAGAAAGTGTAGAAATCAAAAAGTCAGAATGTAACCATACTAAATTTATGTTTCTATACATTTAGTGCTCTTACAGCTATTAAGGAAGACTGATTAAAAATTAACCCAGTAATTCATGTATGATTGCTTTGGTATCTGTTGTGACTGCAATTTTGAAATACTTTTCTTTTTAACGAAAAGCAAGCAAAAATTTCTCAGACAGAATCTGAATAATGAGTGACTTGTTTGGCATATATTGCCACTGAGCTGGGATAAGCAAAGGGAAAAAAAGGCTTCTGTAGATTTCCTGGAAGATTATTTTAAGCTTCATAATTTTACTGGATGTATGTGTGTTGAAATATCATAATGTGTTTTTGTACCATATGAAAGATTCCATATTTTTCTGAGGAAGTCTGTCTGTGGACTATAAACAGCGTTTTAATTTGTACTTCCAGATTGAGCCTGACAGAAGTGGAATACTTTACTTTCCTTTTAGGATTTTGTGAGGGTTCATGCTTTAATGCCTACCATATAGAAAGGAATATAAGGGGAGGGAGAACAACTTAGGATATTTCATGATTATTGTGTGTGTCAGCTTGTTCATGGTATTAATTGTCATTCTCCATTGATGTCACTTTCACTCAGATTATAAGCATTTCTGAAATCTATCAAGGAAGGATTTAATAGTAATAATTAGTTAATATTTAGCATTAAGGTTTGTTTGTTATCAGCTGTTCAGTGAAGAATCTTGACCTGGCCTTAACGTGAAATGTTTCCTGAACATCTTTGATTAATTTGTTTTTGAAATCCTATAGTCTGAAATTCTTAAAGTTCCTTATGTGTATGTATGCATATGAGACTATATAAAGCTTTTTTTAAAATAAAATTACCTGAAACAAACCTGCTGGTGAAAGAATGAGTAGTTGCTGCTTTTACAGTCTCATTCCGTGCAGTCCTACAAAATAAGACCAAGTAAAAATAAAATAAAAGGAACCATGAGTTAATGACTGCGTACTTTAAGTACTTGTTAAATAATTTACTGTAGCACCCAAATGAATTCAAGGTATAAATGTACCTCTTTAATCTGCTGAATGAGGTTATTATGTTAAGAATGGATCAGCATATTGCACTGCCAAGTGTTCTTTAGTAGGCCTAATATCCCAAATTGGGTGAAATGTCGAATTGCTCATAAATGTTCAGGGATTGGTGTAGGATGTGCATGTGCCTCCATTTTATTTTTTTTCTCTCCAAGTGTATGAGACTCCTTCCAGTACTGTAATTGGTTGTGAAAAAGAGGAGTTTCTGAGCCTGTATTTGATTGGAGAGAGAGGAGGGCGGGTAGAAGGTGTGAAAGAAATGGTCATGATGCTTGTTTTGATTTTCTTCTTTTTTTCTGGTGGGGAAAGGGATTTTAATTTTTGAAATACTGTCAGGCATCAGTGTGTCAGTCAAGTATATGCAGTTATTGGCAATACAGCCTCTTCCTGTTTGTGGGGAAAGTAGCTAAAAGGCCTTGTTATGAATTGGTGCTCTGCTTTGCTGGCTGCTTTGTAACAAAGAGCAGAAAAGATAATGTTGAAGGACTTGGTGTCTGATGTCCATACAACTTCTGAAGTGATTTTAAGATGGTGCCCGCATTAAAGCAGGCAAAATCCTAAATATTTTTAGTGGTTGATGGAAAAACAGAGCAGCAAAGCGGGATTAGTAATCTCTGTGTTCTTGTGGAGTTGAAGTGTGTCATCTCTGGAGTAGCACTGCACTGAAAATTGTTTGAGCTGCCATTTCCCCCTGAAGGCGCGGGTCAGCCTCTTCAGGAGGTCTCACCGACTGCCCTTGGGGTGCATAAATCTGTAGTGCTGCTTAGTGTTGGAGGTGGAGAAGAAAGTGAGCAGTCTTGTTAGTTCACTGGAATTTAATGTAAATGAAGATAATTATTTGTATCAAGATACTTTCAGTGCTTCTAGAGCACTGTGATCTGTGAAAGGGGAAAAAGAAATGCTAGCATGTTATACCAGACAGGTGTAATTATCTTCACCTTCTGCATTTGTATGACCATCAAAATCCAGTATGGAATCTTTATTATGTATGTTTACTGTCCAAATTCTTAAAATATTTAGAACAGGTTTTTTTATTCCTGTGAAGTTATTGAATAAAAATATTTTTCTCTGAAAAAGTTCTCCAGAGAATTTTATAAAAGATATTGAAATTGTATGAAGTGTTTATACATATTTTCAAATAGGTACCTGTCTTGATACTTAGATATTTAAATGTTTAAGCAAGCTATGCAATCCTCCCTCTTAATACTTTTTATCTGGGGAGATGTTTCCTCCTATTCCAACCTCTGAACATGATAGTCTAAACCATTCTTAATGTTTCAGAAATATGTATATTTTACAGCTATCTAAAATGTTTTAATTGTTTTTATATTGCAAGAACAGCAATAAAGAACAAAGAAGCACCCAAGCCCTGGGATATCATTTCATTAAATGATGAAGTTTATATAATATGTTAGCCAGAAGGTAAGTCAGGTCAATAAGAGCCATGCAGTTATCTAAATCCCAGACATCCATCCTTCTAGTTTGGCTATAAAATCCTATGATTTTGTGAATTTACAGGTACTCTTTAAAAATACTTTCTCCAAGTTGCTATCAGGTTGCTCTGGATTAGGTCTGTAGCCTTTGTAGAATCTTCTTTGTAGAAGATTTGCAGACAAATCTTCTCATGCTTTTGTTACTGTGGTCACTAGAGTCACACATACTGTATTCATCAAATGATACTGCCATGTAGCTGTGTAGTTTTGGTTGTCTGTAGCAGACTGTAATATATATATATATGTTGAGTTTCTGTAAATTATATGCTGGAAGTTCTGAAACAATGCATTTTCTACTAAAAACTTCAATTTTTTTTGGATACCTTTCTTAAATTGTAATTATAATATGAAAAATCGTATTAAATAAAACAAATACTTTCTGTAGCATTTTCTATCCTAAATAATATACTCTAACCCAAGGTATGCGTTTAAGTGATGTTATTAAAATGGTTTGTTCCATTGCAGAGTTGTTCAAGCATATTGGTAACCCTTTTTTTTCCTCATCTGTTGCATGGTTTTCACCACTGATTTATGTTGTCTGCTTATGATGAAGAGGCAAGATTTAGAAACAAAGCCATTTCAGAAATCATGAGATTGCTGTGAAGATTTGCATTTTGTTTCAGAAATAAGAGTTAAAAGAAGTAACTATCATTGGTAGTCTCATCTTCCTAATGTGACCACAAGAAAAATGTACCAAAAATAATTGCTGGGAAAAGTAGGCTTTTTTCTTCATGAAAGAAGATCCAACCACGTCTGAACACCATTTAATTATAGCGTCTGTCAGTGAATGTGACTAGTTTCTGTGAGATTGTTCTTAAGTGGTAAACAAGGGTTGTTTTTAATCTCAAACTGGTAAGAAATGGTTTGACATACTGTGTATGAAGAGATGTGCAATTTTTTCCGGTGAAGTAAGCAATTTTTCCTCTAAGTATTGATGTGGTGGATTTTATGAAGATGGCACAGATAGGAAACATGAAAATTAGAATTTTTTCCTACTGGCTGTTTTGAAAATTAAAACCAAATAGAAGGTGTGTTTGAAACATGGTAATGAACACCTGAAATGTAAATGTGGCTGCTGTTAACTTGGCAGATTGATTTTCTTGAAGGATGATCAAGTTAATTCACCTGAGTAACTGATAACAGTAATAGAAAAAAGTGATGTTGAGGAGAATGCTCAATAAGAGCCCTATGAGGTGAAAAACTTGGAAATCCTAGGTTGAGGTTTGCATTTTGGAGCACTTTGCTGTACGGATTCCAAACCTTTGTCTACTAGAACCTTTTGAACCTTTACCTAGAAAAAAGTAATCTAGAAATGTATGTATGTCTGTGGAAGAGTTTATTCTCTTAACAGCTCATGGCTGGAGGCCCACTGCCATAGGGGGAAGTGGCTAGTGGAGAAGCATTTTACCAGCTGGAATGGATTTTGTGGAGTCTGGCTGGTATGACTGAGTGTTGTGGGAATGCCATATGTCCTTGAAAGTAACTGTTTTAATCAATGCTTAACTGTTGAGGCCAAAACCATCCAGATTTATAAGCAATAGAAGCAATTGTTTTATGTTAATTGTAGGTGTCCTTGATTAGCATGTTTTATGTATGTACAAATCGCTTTTCAAGATTTCATAGTGTATTTTCTTTACTTGGTGTGAACTGTTTGTATTTCATTATATTTCTCTGCTTACATGCTGAAGTACAGGCTTCTGAACTTTGTTCTGCTTCTTTCCTGATAATGTTGGCAAAATGCAACACTTGCAGAGCTAGATTATGCTTCATGAACTAATGCATCCTGTTCCTAAGCCTGGAATGATTCTTAGGGTTCTTCTGCTTCAGCTTTGTGTCCTGTGCTTTTTCCATTTGTCCAGTTTGGTTCAGTATCTGCTGTTTTTTGCTCCTGATGAATGGTAAATACTTGCATTCAGGAAAGCGAGGCTTCTGTTGGTGAGTCTGAAGAGTAGAAGTAATAAAAGGCAGTAAAGAAAACAATCGTATGAGCGATTAACTAAAGTTGATGTGCTGCTAATTCCTCGTCACATTGTGAGCTGACCTCCATTTGTATTATTTTCCCTCCTTTATATTCACAGAAAGTCATTCTTACTGAACCAGAAGGCCTTTGTATTGTCCTTGTAGAGTAGGTTTGCTTGCTCCAAACATTTGGTGTCTGTAGGAAGTGGAGTCAGGGTCACTGGCTTTCCTTTTCTCTTACGTCACTCATATATTCTCAAAGTACAATGGAGTGTCTTACCGCGGTCATTTTTACCTTCCTGAGGACTTTTCACTCTCACCCACTATTATCTATGGTGAATTAATGTTTGATAGTTCAGATCTCTTGCCAAATGTTCCAGAAGGGTCATTTGGTTTTGGTGTGGACAGATATAAAGCACAGAATGTCTATCTTGTAAATTAAGAAAGTAGTTGAACTTGGTTCTTTGAAAGTTAAAAGATGCTGTTGCTGAGGCCTGTCCTACAACATCTCAAAATTGTGCTGTATTTTTCTTAAATAACAAAAGATAATCTACAGGGATTAGAAGGAATTCAAAATGAAACCATGTAATACCTAAACCAAGAAGTAAATCTCTAAAGCTGAATGATAAACCTACATCAGACTTCTGATTGAGACATTGGCTCATAAGGAGCCTTAAAGCTATGATAGCGTATTCCCTTTTTTGTGCTTTAAATTGTAAATGAGGACTAGCTAAGATCATGATCGGTGTGTCTATGTGTATGATCTATGCCTATGTGTCCTCAAACAATTGAGAACAAGAGACCATGGGTAAAATTGCCTTGGCTAATATTAAGAAAGATTTTGTCTGTGGAACTCATCTCCTGTGGAGACCCACGGGGGGAAAAAAAAGTTTAGAGGTTGTTGCACCTTTAAAGTAGGGAAAAGTTTAACAACTGCCCTACTCTGTCAAAGCATAGACCAGAAATTAGGATGTTGTGTAAGTAGAAGCAAGATATTTGTGGTTTCATTAAGAAAAAACCCCACTTATTCACCATTATTATTTTTTGGGAACTGTTCTTGTGCTTGAAAAACGTAATGGTCAGCACAGCAATGGCTCAAAATAGCATTTTGGATGCTATAGCACTGGCATTGGAGCCTCATTGGCAAACATCCAAGAGGCCTGTAAAAGAAGAAAATGTCTTAACTGTTAACGCTTCAAGAGCTTCTTTTTAAATTTAATTTCAATTTTCTGTTTAAGTTTAAATATTCTGAAGTTTTCCAATTATATGCCTATTTAGTCAAATATTTGAGAGTGAGCTGAAAATCCTGTGAAAAGACACTGCATGGTAAGAATCCTTATTTGCAGCACAAAATTTTATTGATTATAGGAGTGCATGTAGGTAGGTAGCTGCAAAGAATTACTCAAGCTGTACAGAATCAAGTGGTTACTGTACAGATGGATAAAAAGATAAAAAGAAATAATTTTAGTAGCTGGATTTTTATTTTCCCTGCTTGTGTATTTTTCAAATTCTTAGTTGCATGTCAGGTTGCAGTGTAGACCTTTCTAGGTCAGTTCTCCTTTCTGAAGATTCAAGTAGGTTTAGGGGTTACCTGGTGCAATTGAGGCGTTTGTCCCTTTGCAGGACACTGCTGGTACCAGAGGGAAGTGGCTTTTAGCAGCCTCCTTCGCTGCTTTTCCCTACTCTTGGTAGTTGCATCCTGCCTCGGGTAGGAAAGATGCCTCCTGTTGCAAAAACCTCAGAGTGTCTTTGGGTAATGCCTTGCTGTTGCTAATGAATAATTAGGCAAATAGCAAGCATTTAATATTATCAGGTTCTCAATTTTAGTGCTATGTGGAAAGGACTTGGGATAAAGGGTGGTAAATGCTTCCTGAGCTTCCATGTGTAATTATATTGGGTAAATGCTGTTACCAAAGTTCCTGTGAACTGTCTTCACAGTAAAAAAAAAACCAAAAAACCAAACAAACAAAAAAAGAGAATCAGATATTTTAGGCTGATTAATCTTTGTGTTCATTTTTGCAACCAGGACACTAGGAGTTACTTTTCTAAAATTAGTTACCCAGGCTCTGAGATTTGGCATAAGTGTTTAAAATATGCCCTCATCACAGTGCTCCTTTTTCAGATGTTTTAAGTAATTAATATAGAGGAGGAATTTGACTTACTGCTGCTAATAAATACTGGAACACATTTTCCAGGACTTCAGAGTTGCTGGCATACCTGATTCTCTGCAGATCAGGAAGCACGTCAGAGGTGGTTAAACCCTAAAGGAGACAAGTAATCTACTTAGGTGCTTGGGGGTTTTTCTGACTTTATTTATAACTTCTAGTCTGAAATACATTGAAAATAGCTTTCTTTTCATTGTGCTGTATTTTTGTTTTAATCCGTCCAATAACGAGGGAGGATATTTGTATCTTGTCCAGTGTGTGGAAACAAGTGTTGTGCTTAGACAAGACCTGAATATGATCCCCCAAAGGGTGCCATTGTGGGAAGGACTTGGGTCAAAACCTGGGTTAAGACAAGGCCCAGGTACTGGATCTGCTGTTTTGCTGTGGCTAAATATTAATGCTGTGTGTGATCTACACCACCTGTTCCAGACCCCTACTTCAGAGGCTGGAGGAGTCTGCAAATTTTCCAGGGGTTATACTTGGTATTTGGAGAGGATGTTTGATTACGTTTTAAACTGGAGTGTACTGTGGATAATATAGAAATAATGTGTGATGTTGCAAGTTAACATTAAAGAAGTAATAAATTTAGAAATGCAGGAAGCCTGTTGCTCTTGTTTTAAATTTAAAAAGTTTGGCAAAACCTAAGCTTTTTTTGTAAAAATTAATTGCAGTTATTAAAGTCAATAAATAACCCTAGTATGTATTTACTGTATAGAAAATGTTATTTCAAATATTGTTTGCTGCCACATGAGGGAGTATTGGAGGGAATTGCTTTGAAAATAGAAAATTCAAAACCCGATGTAATATACTCCAAATCTTTGCATGGCCTACATCTGATGTATGAGGCCAGTTAGCAGTTAGATTTTGCTTAGTTTTTGTGTCTTGGCATGAATTTCTATTCTTCACCCATTTTTTTTCTGTCTGTAACCTATTTTATGTAGTAAGTTGATCTATAGTGTCTTTTCATAGCCTTATTGAAGCATCTTTAATATGAAATTAGAATATGCTAAATAACACGTCTAAAATAGGACTGCCAAGTGTTGTATTTATACTTTAACTACTATTCAAGAAGTCTTTCTTCATCATCCTCGGTAGTCATTTACATCATATTATTGTTTGGGTGATACTGTAATATGCTGTGTTTGTTGGGAACGCTAAGGTGATGGATTACTTGTTCAGTGGGTTTTGCATATATTAAAGTTTTCAGAAAATAGGTTCAGAATTACTGAAAATGGAATAAAATACCCATAAAGGAATAATGACTAAAATTTTTTTTATATTGGTCCTTAATGTGTGCCACATCTTGCTCGGGTCTACTGGAAGAGGCACAAACCTTCTGTTATGCAATCAGTTTGGATTTTGGCATAAGTGTTTGAAGTATGCAGTATTGGTTAATAGGCTTTGGAGATGGATGGAATTTTATTTCTGCTGGGTGAGGACTTTAAAAGGGATTGCTGAGTTTCCAGTATTGCCAAGTTTAGATAGTTAGGTTTGCTTAATTGATGTGGATTAAATAGTTTTAAAAACTGTGTACCAAGATGTTACTGAAGTTCTTTTAACTTAAAAAAAAAAAATCATGTAAGTAGAGTAAGGATCAAACATAAAACTCAGTGGAAAAAATTAGCCAGAACAACTCAGTGCATAATTTATGCTATGTAAATCACTTTGAAATTGGTGACCCCTGATGTCATTGCCCTTAATAAAATGCAAAAGGGAATAGAAAAGCTTGCATGTTATGTAGCTCTTGAATGTAAAGCTTGTTATTCATTCTAGTATATCTTACATGAAAAAATATAAACCACTAAAATCCAGAAGCTTAAGGAATTATCAGGTGGAATGGAATAGATGTAGGAATTCAGTGACTGTGTTTATCAATAAATATATTATTTGTCAGAATATGACACTGAAAAGCAAATACTTTTGCATTGTTAGAAATCCATACAGAATATGTGACCAGTTGTAAGCACTGTGAGACCTGATTCAGATATTTGTGTAATGCTGATTTTCTGTTCTGGTTTGGATGATCCCCCATGTAATTTAAGGTTTGCACAAATGAACCTTAGATTGCATTCCAGCATCAAAACAAACTGTTAAATTATTTTATTTGTACTAATAGGGTTTTTTTTCCCTTTAAAGGTTAATGTAATCAATTCAAATAATTAGCTGTGTAATGGAAAGCATACTTAGTAGCCCATGAAACCTCAGGTTTAATGCGTGGAAGTCCAGCTGAAGGGAGGTGAAAAATACTTTCCTTAACTTTTTAATTGATACTTAATAAATCTTGCAGTCCTAGATAGATTTAGGAGAAGCATTCTTAAGATATTTGTATGTGATTAGTTATTTCTGTGCTGTATCTAGGCAGCATGAATTGCAAAGCCTTTGACAAATGCCTATTATTTCTAGATATTTGGAGCCCATTTTTCCCTGGAGGAACAGTGATGTATCCAGGGAAGAATTTTCTATTGGAATTTACTCGTAGTTGTCTATTGCAAGTGCTTATCAGTGTTTTGTTTTTTTGTCAGGATGGCTGTCTAAGGAACTGTAGCAAGACAGAAGGAAATATGAATTGCCATGGTTTTGACACAGAGTTGATTACATTCGTTCTTTGAACTTTATCTATCTCTTGTAACAATGAAACTCAAAATAGGAATCTAGATACATTCCTTGAAGATTTTAATTTCTTAAGATTCTTAAGATTTGAGTCGTTTT